CTCTTCCTCTCTCTCATTGTTGGCAACCTTTTACTTCAAACATATTTCTCCTCCTCTTTCACTCATTCTTTTAATTCTTTCTTGCATACATACTGTGTTATTCTAACAATACTACTTACTATATCTCGGTCCTAAACTTGCGCTTTGCGTATGAAAATCAAACAACCGTATGTGTACCATGTTCACGGGCGTCCGACCACTAACAATTCACAATGCTACGAGCGTTCCGCTTTACGCTGTTTATTTTGTTTTGTGTTCCTCGTCCCTCAAATTCTAGCCTCCCTCTTTACTGTGAAATTGACTCACACAGGAAGCTAACATCTGTGTCTTTAGAGTCTGATTTTCCGGTTAGCTTGTAAAAGTGGGAAGAGTATGCCACGTGAATCATTATCTAATCTTCAATTTTTTTTACAAGCATGCAATGAACTAGGCCTCTCCTTCCACTGTTGGCAGCAGTTCAGTGTTCACAGGTGCTCCATGGCTTCACTCCAAACTTCATCCTCACATTCTCTCACGTTCAATTGGCAGAAACATGGAAGCACTTCAAATTCAATTCCTACATGGTGAATCAAGGGATTTCCACAATTCCCCTTTCCCCCATCAATGGTGATTTCTAGTCAACACTTCAGCGATTTCACGCTATTATTCCAATACTGTACTTAAAATCAGAACTATTTACAGTTAGCAGGAAACGTGTACATGGCGAATACGAATAAAGTTCACTTTGAAATTAATTGTGACCTAATGACGAGTATGATCCTAAATGTATCATAACTTTAAATTGTTCTCATTAAATCATCTGCATCCGTTTTTTAATCATAGAGACAGTTATGCTCTTTGAATAGCCATAAAGAAATTTTCTCCATTTTTTTCCTCCCCCAAATAAAGCCACTGTTAACATACTTTTATGTGCTCTTTTAATATAGGTATTGTCAAAAAACCATTCCCAATCTGCTGTTTCTTTTTCTTATTTACAGGACAACTCTTTATTGAAGTCAAAAGTTCAGGTAGCCCACAAAATAAATCTCATAATTTAAAAGAAATATTTCAAAAGTAATGTTTAAAGAAAGATCATAATTTCAGAAAATTCTACAATGGGCAGTTTAAATTGGAATTTGTTTTCTAAAAATTTTAAGCTTATAATATAATAATTAACTAATTAATTAATTATTTAATAAATTAATTACAAATTCAAATTAACTAAACTAACATACATACCCAAAATACAGCCATAGAAATTAAATTACAATACACTATAAATTAGATTACAGAAACTCTTATTGGAAAAGAAGGGTGTGACAAATGCAGCAGACATGAGACTTGTAATCAGGGCGGACAACCCAGGAAGCTCTGGCATTTTAGGTATTTGAGGAGCTTATTTAATCAACTATCTAAGCACATGATCAGAAAAAAATATTATATTTTTAAAGATAGAGGTGTTGCATATTAACGTAACAGCATTTTTAATCCATTCATCATTATTGGCAGTGATCCATGTATGTCGTCTGTCTTTATTCTATTTAGTCGGTATTAGTCGGTAGTACAAATGTAAATCGCAATTTTCATGTCTTGGTGAATAATTTTTCTTAGCCTAGATGCAAAATTCATAACAACTTATTTTTCAGTTCTTGTACCAGACACTATTTTTCTTTTTCAATTTCAAAGATTTTTACTATCATTCACCATGTTTTAGGATGATTATTTATATTCAGATTTTTATTTGTTGCCATATATTAAAATCCCCATAGTTGACCAATTGCTGGAGCAAAGTATGGAAATAATTTTTTTAAATCTTCAGGCTGTTTTTCTAGACACATTACCTCCTTGTACCTACCTTCCAAGAATACATCAAACCGGCCCCCACCCCCTTGAAATAAATTATTTAAATTTTAAACCACTTTAAATCTGCATTTTAACTTGTACGGTACTTGCATCGTACAAATAGATATAGATGATGACCATGTTCAATCAGTCTCAATCAAGATTATATCGCAACAGATCTGGAACGATGCGGAAATGAATCAATTCTTTAGACTGTAATGTGGGGTATTTGTAATCAAATATTTCCTTTATTAATATTTACAAACAATGTTTTTCCTTTCATGATTATTCAATCGACTAATATTATTTACCAAGTGGAAAAGTTTTTTTGAAAATTTGATGTCCACCCACTGTTTCTTTATACACTCTTAATAATCAAACTAATAATGATATTCATTTCCCTTGTTTGTAATCTATAGTATTAATTTATATTTATTTGTATTTAATTTTATTATTTATTTATTTATTTATTTATTTATTTATTTATTCACGGTATAAAAAATATAACACCAAAACAGGCAGCCCGTAGGCTGAAATCGTTGGTTTACAAAAAATACATACGTACGTATATATACGTATTATATATATATGTATTTATTTATTGTATTTTGTCAAAATAACTTATTCAGGAAAGCTGAATGTAGGTAAGGTACATTACACTTTCTGTGAATATTTCTTATATGGATTTCCCCTTTCCAGTAGAGACATGCCCCTTCCCTTAAATGGATTTTTTCTTAATTTATCATTCATTAACCAATGCTATTTATATTTTATGTCCTTATAAGCCCTTCCTTTCTGGGAGGTCACTATTTTTTAAGGCAGTAAATTCGAAATTTCTGTTTAAATGTAAAGCTCCCATATCCACTTTCCTTGTGCATTAGAAATAACATTAATTTGCATAGTGTACATATCCATTTCAAAGAATTGCTCAGGGCTGGTTCAGAGAAAAAGGGATATAGCATAGGTATAAACAAGGAGGTAACCTAAACCACTATCATATTAACTAAACCAATAAATATCCTAGAAAGTAACCAAAGAAACTATAAGTAGAAAACAAACTGAAAGTAGAGGAACTAGCATAGCTTCAATGTTTGCTAATACTTTAGGCCTTCAAATTGAGAGCTAACTGGCATATACTAATGTACTGTAGCTGAAACTATCATCATATCAGCTATTACTATTAACAAATATCTAAAAGAAATTTACCAAAGAAACTACTGTACCGTAAAATCTTAAATTGAAGCCCTGGGCTTCTATTTTTTCGAACTCTGGATGGGCATCTTTTCAAGATGGGCTTCATTTCGAGGCTAATTTTACAAATTAAAGAGGTGGTTTCTTTTCAAAATGAATACTGTAAATTTTGGTAATTACTACTATAAAACAATACATTTGGATACTGTAACACCAATCAGTATCATGGAGTGTATTAACCAGCATTAAATCCCCTAAACTACCAATTTATTTTGTGTCTTTGAAGTTCATGTACAGTGAAAAAAGAAGCCCATGCTATCATGGGAGGTTACAAACTAAAGAGTGGGCTTCAATGCGAGATAGGCTTCTTCTCGAGATTAAGCCCATTGGGCTTCAATTCGAGGTTTTAGGGTATGAGAAGAAAACAAATTGAAAACGGAGGAGCTAGCATCGCTTCATTGTTTGCTAATACTTTGAGGCCTTAAAATTGAGGGCTGGCTGGCATAAGAAGGTAGCTGAAACCACCATCATATATCAGCTAAGCCAACAAATATGCTAAAATTTAAAAAAAGAGAGGAAAACAAAATGAAAACAGATGAAAAAAGCATCACTGCTAATAATGAATTTTAAAAACCCAAATAATTCATCACCAGTCAATATCAATAAGTTATAAAATAAAATGAGCATGTTGAGCAAAGTTACACTACAAAAAAGACTGATGAAAATTTCTCCAAGTGAGGTATTTGATATCGAATCCTATTAACTTATGCCATATAACAGATTTGGTTTAATAAATTCAGAAAAATTAATTGGATGCATTTGCAATATTTAGAAGATCACAAGAAAAAAGTCAATTAAAATGTAAATGAGGAAATAACTTGGTAAGTGGAAGATTTAATACATAAACAATACATACAAACATTGGTACAAGACTCGAGAATTGACAAACACTCACACAAATAAACTAATAAGTCATAAAGCAAAGTATTCATTTAAAATGTAGAAACATTGACAATAATTATTTAAAAAGTTATAATAACTTTATAATAATAAATCTATAAATTTGTTGCTAATGGAAAAAATTAAAATATAAAATTATTTTAAAATTTCCCACAATTTCTGTATTTTATTCTCACATAAAATATTGAACAACCTCTTAAAAATAGGTTTATCATTCCTGATGTTTTTTGTATAATGTAAAATATTTTAAAATAACATTAAATGTTATTGAAATCATCATATCATAAGAAATATTATGTTTACTATTATGTTTACTATTTTTATGATAAAAATATGAATACAAAATTGAAATTCTTCGACATGATGGCTGTAGTAATTCACATTCAACAATTTAAAGAACCTGTAATGTAACAATATTCAATACTTTTAAAAAGTATTGAATTTTCAATGGGAAAAGAAAGCAAATTAGTGGTAAACAAAACAAGTTAGCTGATAAAAGATGGAAAAAGGGAAAATAAATCTAAAACTAGGAAATAATTTTTAATTAAATAATTTTTAAGGAAATACCCATAATGGAAACCTTGAAACAATAAAAAAAAAAAAGATTTTTACAATGTACCCTTCCTAACCACTATATAGAATAGTGTAGTGTACCACTATCTGACTGGAGACAAAGCACTATATACTAAACCCCTTCTCTTAACCAATAGACAGAGGATTGCACCCTCTCTTACCCTAGGTATAGCATTACCACTCCTCCTTATCCTTAGGTATAATGTTGTATCCCTCTTTATCCCCTTCGTACAGTTTTATAAACCTCTCATCTCTTGATACAGAATTTTTAACACTTCCTTGCCTCAAGGTAGAGCACTGCACTGTCCCATTTTTCTACGACTAGGTATAGTACTGTAGGCATGACATACCCTTTCCCTACTCCTAGGTTTAGCACTGTGCACCCTTATTCAGCCATAGGTATACCACTGTACCCGTCTCCCACCTTTAGGTATAGCAGAGAATGGTTGCCTTACCTGCGTGCATTCTTAGGTGTTGGTTCAACATGTGGGCGTTGTTGCAAGAGAAGTCGCACTGCGTACAATGAAAGAGCGCCTGGCCACCGTTTCCTGCGAGTGCGCTATCCTGCACAGTTGCATCATCTGCTTGGCTGGACCGTGGTGATGAAGCACTGCTCAGCGATGTTTTCTTTGTATCTTCATCCTCTTCCTCAACGTTCACTACGACTACGTCGGAAGCATCCATCTCCATCACTTCAGCTCTGTTGGGACTGTAATTGCAAAATGAAAAAAGAGCGAGAAAATGAGTCAGTGTTTTTTTTCCTCGAGAAACAACTGATAATAAATCACCAGGACGAAAACAAATGGAGATATCAAGAGAAGATTATAGAAGTGACATTAATAGATGACAAAATATACTAAATTCACTATGGTGACAGAACTAAAGAAAGTATATGATGATAATGTATGAGTTAAAAGTATCCAAGATGAAAAAAAAACCAAGTTAAAAACACAAGAGCCCAGATATATTACAATCATTTGGATAAAGTAGAAGTTTAATCGTTTTCACATTTCTTAAACTTGGATAAATTTTGTGAATGGATTTCAACGTTAATGAAACATTCTTTGGAAATTAAACGTTGAAAGCTCTTCTACTTTTTCGCAAGTCCACTTAATAAATAGAATTTAAGTGGGTGTAGTGTGTGTATGGGCGAAATGTAGGTGTGTGTATGGGATCACCAGTTTTTTTGTGTACCAATATTGTATGTATCTGGTTTGCATTGATATAATGTATGTATAAGTTATATGAAGGCCTAGAATATTATATTTTGTTTAAATATATGCATAAAACAAAAAACTCAACATATAAAATCACTTTCTAAAACTGAATTCTAACAGGTAACAGACAAAATTTGGTTTATGATTTCCACCTTAACAAAAACAAAAATAAACATGAGACCAGTCTGTTTACTTACTTTGGAAAGTTAAGACCCGGCATGTTGACTACAGTTATAGGTGACAACTGTTCAAATAAACATGAATATAAAGGACTTAAGGAATTGGCGTTCTGATGAGTAATTTAATGATGAGAGTAGTCATTTGAGATCACTTCCTGTCTTCATATCACAAGCTTGTGGCAAGCCTCGAGTGCCCCTCAATGGGTACATGGGATGTGCTTTAATTAAGGGCTTATATTATTTTTTTTTTAGTTTGGGAAATTAAGTGAATGAATTATAGTACCAAGATCCTCAAACCCTTATTATAATGGGAAACTCCATATTTTGATCAATTCCTGGATGATATTCATTATCGAATGATCTAATCAACAGTGTGAGTAATATAATAAGCCTGACTTTGCAATTCTTTTCTAAGCATTACTCTAATCAACATCATCTCTTAATCACAAATTATAAAAAGTGTGTTTTGAATTATTATCATTATAAAGTTATATTTATATAATTGTAAATAGCACAGTGAAAATCAATCATATTAGTAGTACAAATATAATTGTAAATGGTACAGATAAAAATCAATCATACAAGCACTGAGCAGTGAAAATTGTTTAAATAACTTAATTTATTTCAATCAAGGAGGGAACACTAAAAGTTCTATATTTTCAACAGCTATTAAATCTTAATTTATTATGGATTAAAAAATGTAAATAATTAATAAATAATCGTATAAAAATGATAAGATATTTAATTGTAATGAATTTACAACCAATGGAATACAATGTGTATTGAAAATATTGTACTACCATCAAGGAAAAGCCCACCTAAACAACCTGGGTATAAGCCGAACTATACCTTAGAGGTTTGGAAACAAGTACAAAATAAAATACATAACAAATTTAGTATTAAAAAATGCTAGATAGGCAACTTTTAGGTAAGGCATTTAAGTTGCAAATCTTGAGACCACTACATGTACTGAATGACACACCAAAATAAAGATTTGAATTTTATTGAATACACTGCAAAACTTATAAGAAAATATAATCAAACATTAGTTTGACACAGAGAGCACTAAGGACATATCTTCTCAAAATCCACTTTAAAATCTTAATGAATTCTTCTGACAATTTTGCATTTTCTTTTGCTGGAATTACATTGTGACACAATTTAGGAAAACTGATCATGCACTCTTACCTTGCAAAATCCACTTCATTTCCATCCAAGGTTTAAAATTCCCAAAACTATGTAACTTTAGACTTATTTATTAAGTAGGTCAGAAGATGAAAACATTTGCGAATTCACGATATCATAAAATTGACAATCATCTAACTTTTAAAAATCATGACATACAATATCGCATACTAAAGGAAATGCGGGTTAAGGCCTGGGATTTTCCAGTACGCCCTGGTAATTATTCCAAGTCAAGAGGAAAAAATTAAACACATATTAATTTCACTTTTGTATCTCTGAAGTACTATTTCACTTTCCATAATTTTATTCATGTTTAATAACAGAATACTTAGAATCAAGTTTAAATCAGTTTACAATAAATTTAACTGACATACTGTTATCCATTTCTTTTTGTTCAGAACTTGGACATTTCATAATATTAAGATTATTATGTAAACAATATTTAAGTAATTTTCATCTCAATGCACGAAGAATCAATTTCATTTCCAGAAAATGTTGGTTTAGCCTGAAGAAAGTGATGCATATTTGCAAAAAGAATGACATTAATGTAACGTTAACAATCCATAAAAATAAACAAATCAAGATATACAAAACAATTTATGTAGCTAGAAATCATGCATGAGGGTTTGGATAAAAAGAGTCAAATAAAAACTTTATATTAAATTAAAATGTAAAACTGTAGATAATGTAATTTTGTAAAGGAAATACAATAAACCACTAATCCATTAGTGAACTTACAATGAATTATTCTACATTTTGTATTATTTTTCTTCCTTTTTAAAAATTTGTAAGCGTTTACTCCATCTTAATTGTATATTCTATATATAATTGTATGTTGAAACTATTATAAAAATTTGTAAAAACAGAAAAAAAAAAAAAAAAAAATTGGGAGAAACTAAAGTAATTAAATTTCATAAATGGCATTTATAATAGACAAACCGTAGAAGCGGTTTGGCACAGCGGAAACAGTGTGGTTTCTTAACTTTGAGGTAGAGATTTCAATCCATCACTGTGCATTTTGCTTGAGCCCTTTAATAGCAAGGCACTTTATCCGATATTGGTTCTCTCCACTCAGGAGTATAAATGGGTACCTGGTGGGGTTATCTACTCCTGAGCTGATTAAAGCAGCAACACTTAAGCATCTGGACTCAATGTCCAGCGAAAAAGTGCTTTGTATCTGCAAAGAAAGGCGCTATATAAATACACAAACAAATAAATAAACTGAAGAAAAAAATATGGGGAACTTTAGTATTTCTAGTATTTTTCTAACAAAAAAGAACATTATTTTGAAAGCACATTCAAAAAGGTTTACCATATCCATACAAAAGGTAAAAAAAAACTAAAGATGAATGCACAAACAAAAAGCGCTGACAGAAACTCACGATTTATTTGACCTTGTTGACATTCTCTTTATAATTACTTAAGAGAAAAATAAAAATCTACAGACGGCATTATTTATTCTCTGTTCTTAAGCTGAATGAAATAACCCCATGATACCTTAACGAGAGATTAGGTTTGAGATGCAAGTTTCAGCGTAATAGACACCATAAAAACTAAGCCAACTCAACATTTATCAATTACAAAACAAACATTAAAACGCAACCCTGAGGTAAATACACTTCTCGTGCCAATTGCATATCAAAAAGACTTTCTCTTCGCATATAAATTCATTACTATTTGATTATTTGGATGTTTTTTACCCCATAGCTTTACTATATCATTCCACCCAGGAGTATAAATGGGTACCTGTGAGTTTAAAAGCAAATGCACTGATTAGTAATTGCAACATTATGGAATACACCCCCAGGGGGGTAAGTACTGTATGTGCTCCATACACGTTTGGTCCAACGAAGCGCATGCTACATTGCATAAGATTGGCCGCTTATAAAAATACTACATTTCTTTATAATATTCAATTATGTATTTTCAATGTATGTTGTTGTTAATGAAGAAATATTACTTGATTTCTAAGACAGATGAAATGCACAATGTTTCCGAATAAGAACACCAACGTCTCTCTGGAGGAGCATTATCACATCACAGCGGTATTATGCGTATTAAGTTAGGTGTTACAGCGCATTTAGTTAGTCAAATACAATAATTATTATATTTAATTTATTCTAATTTTTTAGGCAGACCTTACTGAAAAAAGACAACAAAATGTTATTCAATAAATTCAAAATATATAATATAAAACAAATAATAGTGTACAATATGAATACGTTCTTATGATTTTGACAACTTTATACTGTACAACAAACAGAAATTAATGAGAATATTTTGCAAAGTTATTTAGAAACAAGTACAAGAGGAAGAGATATAGCATATGACTTGAACGACAGGTTGTCAGTCGACTTGTTCATGTAGCAGACAGACCAGAATCGCGATGACATATCGGTCTTCAAGCATTCCACCATGATACTTTAATCATTGGCTGTGTACATAGAGATTTTGAACTTATCAAAGGATTAGATTAAATCCTTTTTAAGCCCCTGATCATCCTAACTAATCAGGGATAATCATGCATACCTCCACAGGCTGTGTCACGACATACGTTCCCCTTCTCAACGTATACTACCATGTAATGTACTTGGTTCAATGACACTCCAATTCCAGATATAAAGTTTTTAAAGTTCCAGATAGAAAGATTATATTGTCACATGTTTGAATGGTGACATTGTTTTCCAATATATTATAATTTACATATTCATCTCATGAATATTATATTCAATCTTATGAATATTCATGATTATATAATCACAATCCTACAGTAGATGGTTTACCATGGGTTTACCATGGATCACTGTCAAAATTAATTTACTGTATATATCAATTATGAATATTTATGATTAGGGTGTAAAATGACAGACTGATGATACAAACTAAAAAAAAAAGTTGATGATACAAACTAAAAAAAAAAGTTCCAAATTAAGTTATCTACCCTCATCTCCTATTTAACTTACATATTTAAACCTATGAATATTTATGCATATCACATGCCTGGTTGGAGAGAAAAAATAATTAGTTGAGATGAATTGATGGTAAATCTTCCAGGGGATATTTTAACATACTGCTTTTCCTGTTAGGATATGTTATTCAACATTTTCAAATCCACAATCTTAGAACCG